TTGCGTTTTCAATGAAGTTATAATCGTTAAAGTTAGTAAAACTAATTATGTAACAAACATATAAGAAGTTTCTAGTTACTAAACACAAACAACACGTACAAAGTAACTCGCAGATGAACAAGCATCGCGCCTGTGGTCACGGCAGAACACAAATATATATAGCAAATAATTAGATATAAAGAAAAGTTTCTAGATATTGGTTTACTAACTCTAATTATCTTCGCTTAAGTTGCCATTCTTAAAACTCGTTATACTTTTTTCTGCTTTAAATACTAATTAAAATTAAAATGCCCACTCACTAAACATCATCAGCGATATTGTGAAGCAGTTTCGATTCCTGGTCATTCATTTTTAACCTTTTTAGTTGATTTCTATCTTGATAATTTAATTCCTAAAGTAATTCAATGATTTAATTATTTCATTTGTTTATCTTACTAAGAAGAATCGCTTCAAATATGTTAAACTTTTCAAACTACGCGAAACATAAAATAGGTATTAAAAAAATTAACTTTTTTATTTATAAAATAATTTAGCTTAAGTAAAACTAAAACTTGCAAACTTAGTTAAATAAAGAATATTTGTTTCCCTTTTAAACAATCGTAAGTTGTTACTTTATATAAAAAACATCGCTTAATTTTATAAAAAAAATTGTAAAAGAGCGATATTTGTTCTAAATGTAATTTATTTAGCTTTAAGTTTTTTCGCGTTTAAAGATATTTTATTTGCCTTTTTTTTTTTTTATTTTTTTTTTTTTTGTAATTGTCTCTTATCGGTCCAACAAATCTTTGTCGCTTTTTTTTTTTGCCTTTTTAAAATGTTCTCAAAACGGCTAAAAAATCTGACCAGCTTTTCGCAACTAAATATTATTTACGTGGTCAGCAATCGAGAGCGATCGCTCCCGCTTCACAACCAAGCCTGAGGTATGGACCTTATCATCCATCACATGAGGTAAAATCCCGCATATGAAGGCTTTTTTAATAAAATCCTGCATGGGTTTTAGAGCCACCACGCCCCTGAATGTATAAAGCATAATATATAAATAATATATTAATAAATTTTACAATAATATATATATATATATATATATATATATATATATATATATATATATATATATATATATATATATATATATATATATATATATATATATATATATATACATATATATATATATTTAAAAAGAAATAGAAAATCTGTTGACTTCAAGATTTTAATGCATGCACATATATTTCAACTTGACGTTGTAGAAATAGTATAAAAAAATTTTATATGCATATTTCAAAGTTTATATGTCATTTTTACAAATACTTATATTTAAAAAATTTGTATAAACATAGAAATATAAAAATAAGAATATATAAAAATATAGAAATATAATATATAAAAAAAAAAGTCTATATATTTATTATTTTTGACTTGACGCAAGATCTACAAGTAGAATAAGTATACTTATAGTTGAAAAAAAAATTATAAAATGTCTAAATGTTAATTTTTTTTTTAAACTGGTCGTATATTATTTTAACTAAATAGTTTATCTATATTTTAAGCAAAAATTATAGTAAATATATCTTTATATTTCAAACAAAAAATGTTTCAAATATTTTTTTCATATATTTCAAACAAAAAAATCTATTAAATATCGACTTATAGATCGTATATGTAACATGAGTAAACATACCCGCTTTTAAAAAAATTTATAATTTTTATAGTTTTCCGCATCTCTTGAGTATAATTTAGACATTACAAAGGTATCTTTTTTGTTTTTAATTTTCATTTAACTAATCTTTTAAACTAAAATTCATTCAAACGTAAAGTTGACAGGAAATCTGTCGACTTATGAAAAGTGTCAATTTCACAAAGGTTATAGAAGCATTGTTTGTCGACTTTGGGCTGACCTAGTGCCATCCCAAAGTCTTCAAACTATGCTTTATATATATTTATAAATATATATATATAAATATATATATATATACATACATATATATATATATATATATATATATATATATATATATATATATATATATATATATATATATATATATATATATATATATATATACAGGGTGTAAACTAGCCCTATGGGGCTCCGTCAAACGCGGTATTCCCAAATGCTTATAAAATTAAAATTTCCAATTTAAAAGTAAAAAAATCCCATTCTTAGTAACATTTAATAATAATTCTAAAAATTTTTGAAAATTAATTACTATTAAAAACTAATAGAAAAATAACACAAAAAATTATAATTTATTGTTTAAAACTTGAAGTAACTTTGCAGCTATTAGTATAACTACGCGCTCTCAAAACTGAAAAAAACTTTTTGAGAATTGGGATTTTCCGAAAATCCCTAAAATCGCTCGGAAAAAAAATTCCTTTCTCAAAGTTTGCAAATAATTTTTGGCTGAAAAATTAAATAAGTTAAATAAATGATTTTTGATTATAACAAACTAATTTTAGAAATTTATTTAATAAGAAAAATAGATTTGTTTACTTTACTGGTTGCTTATAGTTAAAACATAAATTAAATACGTATAATAAAATGTAAATTAAATACCTTTAATAACAAGAATGTTTTTTTTTATTACAACAAACTGCTTGCTTGCATTTAAAACATAGAAGCAAATTTTAATGTTTCAATGAACTATAGTCATAATAACATTTTATGACAATGCATGAAAAAATAATTATTGGTATTCTTTGTTGACACGTTAGCGTTCAATCTTTGGTAATTCTTTTGTATTTAAACGACATTTGTTGTTGTTTTTGACTCAGACTTTGTAATTGTAACTTTATTTTGCTTCGCAGTTTATGTATAAATAAAGTTAATATTATTTCAGTGCCAGATCAAGGAGGTTAGGGGGGCTGTAGCTCTGGGCCCCAAATTTAAGAGGACCTTTTTTTTTTTATAGTTATTTTAAGGGTCTGGCCTTTAGATCAGAAGTAAGAGTTAATCTCAAGGCCGCTTTCATTTTCAGAATATTCCAAAGAATATTCTGAAAATGAAAGCGGCCTTGCTGCCGCTTTCATTTTCAGAATATTCTTTGGAATTATATATATATTTTTTACTGGTGGGCATTAAATTAGCAATTTTTAAAGTAATATAGGGATTTATGTTCAATAAAAATTTCAGCAGAAGAGGGCTAATGATCTGCTACTTCTAATTAATATTCAAGTTCTGTTTGACTTTATGGAGAAACCTATACATCATCTTGTTATAAATTGTGTCATCAAAAGAAATGTTATAAAAATAGAAAAATAAAAAAGGTTTGGAAAAAAGTAAACACAAGCTTGTAAACTTCATATTTCACATTTATTGCGAATTCAATTTTATAATTAATACAATGGCGTATCATAACTTCTTGGGGCCTGGGGCTATTTTTGCTTTTAGAGGCCTTTATATGGCCTCTAAAAGCAAAAATAAGAATAGGACTCAGTAAGAGGATTGTCATTCATTAATATAGGAATGTTGACCATATTACGGTAGTTATTTGCAGTAAACAACTGGGTTTTGTTAGAGTTGAAATTCACAAGCCACTGTGAACCCTAATCTATTACTGAAGTGAGATCAGATTCAAGATCAGCTGCTTGTGGTGATCAAAAAGAGAAGACTTTTTGTCAAGACAGGAGTATAAAGTTGAGTCATCAGCAAAAAGAGCTACTTTAGATAAAAGGTTGTCAGGAAGATCGTTTATGTAGATAAAAAACAAAACAGGGCCCAGGATGGAACCTTGCGGAACCCCAGAAGTTACTGGAAATAAAGAAGAGTGTTGGCCTTCAAGGATGACTTTAATAAACCGGTTAGAAAGAAATGATTTGATAATCTCAAAAACTTTCCCAGAAACACCATATGAAGCAAGCTTATGGAGAAGACCAGCTTATGGAGAAGACCATTTAGGCAATCATCAGCCATATATACATTTTTCAATTAAGAAAAACCGTTTAAAATACAAAATACAAAATAATATTAGAATGGGTTTTGACGTCAAAACAAAACAAAAAGTAACGCAGAAACTGTTTTAATCACCGGTATCAAAATAAGCCAGATAAAATTTGTTTCTATGTCTGCACTTAGATATTATTTCACTCCTTTAATTTAATAAGCTTGGATTTCTGGAGAATAAAATTTCATATTTCTCATTTAAGCATAAATTGCAAGATTTTTTCGTAGGGTTACAAGCATTGTACTGTTTAATTATTTTCCGTTTAACTATAGGATTCAAATAAGCTTCCTTTAATTTCCAAAACTCCTTTTTATAACTCAGTGTCATTTTTATACCCAATAATATTAAATGATTATATGCCGATAAATAATTTTATGTGATATATTAAACAAAACGATCTTCCTATATTAACACAGTGCAACATGAAAATTGTAATATTAAATATTATCAGAACCCATTCTATTATTGTTTTCGTATTTTGTATTTTTAACAATTTTTCTTGATTAACAAACTATATATGGCTGATAATTGCCTAAATGGCATGAAACTTTATGTTCCATCATAAAGTTTTATTTTTTTCATTAAGTTAAATTTTTATATATAATTGATGATCTATTTTGTAAATAATTAATTTACATTATATTGACCACTCAAAAAAAAAACGTTCAAGAGGCTTTGTATTTCTATTTGGTACAAAAAAACTTGCAACAACACTATATATATATGTATATATATATATATATATATATATATATATATATATAATATATATATATATATATATATATATATATATATATATATATAAAGCATAGTTTGATCCCAAGCATAGTATCATCCCAAAGTCTTCAAACTATGCTTTATGTATATATATATATATATATATATATATATATATATATATATATATATATATATATATATATATATATATATATATATATATACATATATATATATAAGTGTATGTTTGTGTGTGTGTTTGTCTTATGGCAAAAACTTACAATGATATTAAACTTTAAAAAAGCCAAAACAATGTGTGATAAATTTTTTTAGGTATTAAACAAATTGGCAATTCAGCTGCACAAGCAAATGATCTAAAATCTTCTGATGCAAAAAAGCCTGGACCTGAATTTCGTTCTGTTGCAGATGGTAATTTTAAAATTAAATTTATGTTGTTGTTGTGAAATGATTTTATGTTGTTAAGCAACATAAGTAGAAAACTACTCATAAAAATAAAATATTCAACTCTTAAATAAAATTCTAAAATATCTTTATTAGCAATAAAATTACAAAAACAGTAAAAACATTAAAAAAGCACAGTGCAGTGCAAACATTTTTTTCAAAACAGTTTTATGAATATCATGCAAATAAGAAAATACTTTTTTTTTTATCTTAATTTTTCTTTTAGGTATTAAACAAATTGGCAATTCAGCTGCACAAGCAAATGATCTAAAATCTTCTGATGCAAAAAAGCCTGGACCTGAATTTCGTTCTGTTGCAGATGGTAATTTTGAAATTAAATTTATGTTGTTGTTGTGAAATGATTTTATGTTGTTAAGCAACATAAGTAGAAAACTACTCATAAAAATAAAATATTCAACTCTTAAATAAAATTCTAATATATCTTTATTAGCAATAAAATACAAAAACAATAAAAACATTAAAAAAGCACAGTGTAGTGCAAACTTTTTTTTCAAAATAGTTTTATGAGTATCATGCAAATAAGAAAATACTTTTTTTTTTATCTTAATTTTTCTTTTAGGTATTAAACAAATTGGCAATTCAGCTGCACAAGCAAATGATCTAAAATCTTCTGATGCAAAAAAGCCTGGACCTGAATTTCGTTCTGTTGCAGATGGTAATTTTAAAATTAAATTTATGTTGTTGTTGTGAAATGATTTTATGTTGTTAAGCAACATAAGTAGAAAACTACTCATAAAAATAAAATATTCAACTCTTAAATAAAATTCTAATATATCTTTATTAGCAATAAAATACAAAAACAATAAAAACATTAAAAAAGCACAGTGTAGTGCAAACTTTTTTTTCAAAATAGTTTTATGAGTATCATGCAAATAAGAAAATACTTTTTTTTTTATCTTAATTTTTCTTTTAGGTATTAAACAAATTGGCAATTCAGCTGCACAAGCAAATGATCTAAAATCTTCTGATGCAAAAAAGCCTGGACCTGAATTTCGTTCTGTTGCAGATGGTAATTTTAAAATTAAATTTATGTTGTTGTTGTGAAATGATTTTATGTTGTTAAGCAACATAAGTAGAAAACTACTCATAAAAATAAAATATTCAACTCTTAAATAAAATTCTAATATATCTTTATTAGCAATAAAATACAAAAACAATAAAAACATTAAAAAAGCACAGTGTAGTGCAAACTTTTTTTTCAAAATAGTTTTATGAGTATCATGCAAATAAGAAAATACTTTTTTTTTTATCTTAATTTTTCTTTTAGGTATTAAACAAATTGGCAATTCAGCTGCACAAGCAAATGATCTAAAATCTTCTGATGCAAAAAAGCCTGGACCTGAATTTCGTTCTGTTGCAGATGGTAATTTTAAAATTAAATTTATGTTGTTGTTGTGAAATGATTTTATGTTGTTAAGCAACATAAGTAGAAAACTACTCATAAAAATAAAATATTCAACTCTTAAATAAAATTCTAATATATCTTTATTAGCAATAAAATACAAAAACAATAAAAACATTAAAAAAGCACAGTGCAGTGCAAACATTTTTTTCAAAACAGTTTTATGAATATCATGCAAATAAGAAAATACTTTTTTTTTTATCTTAATTTTTCTTTTAGGTATTAAACAAATTGGCAATTCAGCTGCACAAGCAAATGATCTAAAATCTTCTGATGCAAAAAAGCCTGGACCTGAATTTCGTTCTGTTGCAGATGGTAATTTTAAAATTAAATTTATGTTGTTGTTGTGAAATGATTTTATGTTGTTAAGCAACATAAGTAGAAAACTACTCATAAAAATAAAATATTCAACTCTTAAATAAAATTCTAATATATCTTTATTAGCAATAAAATACAAAAACAATAAAAACATTAAAAAAGCACAGTGTAGTGCAAACTTTTTTTTCAAAATAGTTTTATGAGTATCATGCAAATAAGAAAATACTTTTTTTTTTATCTTAATTTTTCTTTTAGGTATTAAACAAATTGGCAATTCAGCTGCACAAGCAAATGATCTAAAATCTTCTGATGCAAAAAAGCCTGGACCTGAATTTCGTTCTGTTGCAGATGGTAATTTTAAAATTAAATTTATGTTGTTGTTGTGAAATGATTTTATGTTGTTAAGCAACATAAGTAGAAAACTACTCATAAAAATAAAATATTCAACTCTTAAATAAAATTCTAATATATCTTTATTAGCAATAAAATACAAAAACAATAAAAACATTAAAAAAGCACAGTGTAGTGCAAACTTTTTTTTCAAAATAGTTTTATGAGTATCATGCAAATAAGAAAATACTTTTTTTTTTATCTTAATTTTTCTTTTAGGTATTAAACAAATTGGCAATTCAGCTGCACAAGCAAATGATCTAAAATCTTCTGATGCAAAAAAGCCTGGACCTGAATTTCGTTCTGTTGCAGATGGTAATTTTAAAATTAAATTTATGTTGTTGTTGTGAAATGATTTTATGTTGTTAAGCAACATAAGTAGAAAACTACTCATAAAAATAAAATATTCAACTCTTAAATAAAATTCTAAAATATCTTTATTAGCAATAAAATTACAAAAACAATAAAAACATTAAAAAAGCACAGTGCAGTGCAAACATTTTTTTCAAAACAGTTTTATGAATATCATGCAAATAAGAAAATACTTTTTTTTTTATCTTAATTTTTCTTTTAGGTATTAAACAAATTGGCAATTCAGCTGCACAAGCAAATGATCTAAAATCTTCTGATGCAAAAAAGCCTGGACCTGAATTTCGTTCTGTTGCAGATGGTAATTTTAAAATTAAATTTATGTTGTTGTTGTGAAATGATTTTATGTTGTTAAGCAACATAAGTAGAAAACTACTCATAAAAATAAAATATTCAACTCTTAAATAAAATTCTAATATATCTTTATTAGCAATAAAATACAAAAACAATAAAAACATTAAAAAAGCACAGTGTAGTGCAAACTTTTTTTTCAAAATAGTTTTATGAGTATCATGCAAATAAGAAAATACTTTTTTTTTTATCTTAATTTTTCTTTTAGGTATTAAACAAATTGGCAATTCAGCTGCACAAGCAAATGATCTAAAATCTTCTGATGCAAAAAAGCCTGGACCTGAATTTCGTTCTGTTGCAGATGGTAATTTTAAAATTAAATTTATGTTGTTGTTGTGAAATGATTTTATGTTGTTAAGCAACATAAGTAGAAAACTACTCATAAAAATAAAATATTCAACTCTTAAATAAAATTCTAAAATATCTTTATTAGCAATAAAATTACAAAAACAATAAAAACATTAAAAAAGCACAGTGCAGTGCAAACATTTTTTTCAAAACAGTTTTATGAATATCATGCAAATAAGAAAATACTTTTTTTTTTATCTTAATTTTTCTTTTAGGTATTAAACAAATTGGCAATTCAGCTGCACAAGCAAATGATCTAAAATCTTCTGATGCAAAAAAGCCTGGACCTGAATTTCGTTCTGTTGCAGATGGTAATTTTAAAATTAAATTTATGTTGTTGTTGTGAAATGATTTTATGTTGTTAAGCAACATAAGTAGAAAACTACTCATAAAAATAAAATATTCAACTCTTAAATAAAATTCTAATATATCTTTATTAGCAATAAAATACAAAAACAATAAAAACATTAAAAAAGCACAGTGTAGTGCAAACTTTTTTTTCAAAATAGTTTTATGAGTATCATGCAAATAAGAAAATACTTTTTTTTTTATCTTAATTTTTCTTTTAGGTATTAAACAAATTGGCAATTCAGCTGCACAAGCAAATGATCTAAAATCTTCTGATGCAAAAAAGCCTGGACCTGAATTTCGTTCTGTTGCAGATGGTAATTTTAAAATTAAATTTATGTTGTTGTTGTGAAATGATTTTATGTTGTTAAGCAACATAAGTAGAAAACTACTCATAAAAATAAAATATTCAACTCTTAAATAAAATTCTAAAATATCTTTATTAGCAATAAAATTACAAAAACAATAAAAACATTAAAAAAGCACAGTGCAGTGCAAACATTTTTTTCAAAACAGTTTTATGAATATCATGCAAATAAGAAAATACTTTTTTTTTTATCTTAATTTTTCTTTTAGGTATTAAACAAATTGGCAATTCAGCTGCACAAGCAAATGATCTAAAATCTTCTGATGCAAAAAAGCCTGGACCTGAATTTCGTTCTGTTGCAGATGGTAATTTTAAAATTAAATTTATGTTGTTGTTGTGAAATGATTTTATGTTGTTAAGCAACATAAGTAGAAAACTACTCATAAAAATAAAATATTCAACTCTTAAATAAAATTCTAATATATCTTTATTAGCAATAAAATACAAAAACAATAAAAACATTAAAAAAGCACAGTGTAGTGCAAACTTTTTTTTCAAAATAGTTTTATGAGTATCATGCAAATAAGAAAATACTTTTTTTTTTATCTTAATTTTTCTTTTAGGTATTAAACAAATTGGCATATCAGCTGCACAAGCAAATGAACTAAAATCTTCTGATGCAGAAAAGCCTGGACCTGAATTATGCTTACTTCACATAAAATTATGTACGCTTATAATTATATTGGAATAGTTACTTTCTAAATTTAATATAACATATTATATAGGCAATATAATATATAATATTGTATATATGATATAATTTATTGTATACACAATATCTTTTTGAAATCAAAATATACGCAAATAATAAAAAAACAATTAGTTACTAAAATTTAAAACACATATTAAAGACTTTAAAGGAAACTGAGCTAAAACATGATTATTTCTTTTAATAGCGTTACTATGAAGTAAAATAACTAAGTAAGCTATCAAAGATAACAATTTTTTTTAAGCATGGTTTTTGCATATTTATGTATATACATTTTATATGTATATATATATATATGTATATATATATATATATATATTTAATATACATTTTATATCTATATGTATTTATATATATATATATATATATATATATATATATATATATATATATATATATATATATATATATATATTTATATATGTGTATATGTATATATATATATATATATATATATATATATATGTTTATATATATCAGGCCTTGCGATGAATAAGAACTGCGCGACGCATAAGCACGACGCGATTTTTGACGTCATTAAATTCTTTTTATTTGCTTTTCATATTTATCGACGTTAACTGCACCAATTTATTTAATTACCGCAAAGCTACTTTAAATCGTTTATGTAGAAATGTTATTATTTAAAAATGTTTTGCAATGTTTCGTTTTTTAAAATGTAAAAACATTTGTTTATTTTCTCGACGTTTGTCACGTTTTGTCTATACTAAACGAATAAAAAACATTATAACTTAAATTTAAAAAAGATTATAAAATATGCTAATATTTGAGTTTTTTTTCTTAAATATGTAATTTAAAGTTTTTCAAATAATTATTTTTTCTTTTTAAAAAGTCAGCGAGTAATAAACTGGAAATTTTAATATTATACGATTAAAAACTGTGCAATAGCTAATATTTTTACAAGCGATTTTATATAATATTTATTTATTTTTATTTATTTTCATAAAGCGGTTGATAAGCACAACCACTCGTATTAATAAAAAACTTAAACGAACGTTTTGAATAGATTTTTAATGTTAACAAGGAATTTTATTTCTATTAAAATAAAATAAAATGTTAGAATAAAAATCTTATAGGTATAAAAGAAATATTTCAGCGAAAAAATTATTCTTAAAAATTATTCTTAAAAATTATTCGAAAAACTATTGACGTTTTATTTTTCAGCAGCTGTTCTTGAGCACGCTTCGATGAGTTTCGGTAACTTTTAACATAAAAGCGATCGTTATTATTTAAGTAATTTTTTTGAGTTACTTTTTACAAAAATTTTAATAACTGTACTTTTTTATTGAATCAAGTAGAATACGTTTTGATATTAATCTTTTTTTTTTTTTATTTGCCCTCACCAATTTTTAAAATGTTTCCTCGAAATCACTCTTAAATACTTTAAATACGTCTAACAGTTAATAAATATTTTTAAATCTATGGAATAATTTTAAAACCTATCAAACCCCTGTAAAATAATTATTTAAGTTTAAAATCTAAAACTAAAAGAAAGTATTTTTGTTCAATTTTATCGACAACGTTGCTATTGCTGAATAATTTTATTAAAATGTTAGCTTAAAAGATTTAAACTTTTTTTTTAATTTTTGAATTTTTTCTACTTCCAAATAATGAGCATATTTAATTTTTTTAAATTCAAACTTTTATTTCAACTGCGTGAGGTTTTTAAAATACTTTATTAAATGTTAAAATAATCGTAAATTACTTCATTAGAATTCCGCTCAAAAATATCTTTAAATATACTCAAACAAAAAAATTTTTGCTCGACGCAAATAGCCCTAGCTACACGCAAAATCGCCCTTGGACGACGTAAAATTCACATCGCCCGACGCTTTATAGCAAGGCCTGATATATATATATATTTAATATACATTTTATATGTATATGTATATGTATATATATATATATATATATATATATATATATATATATATATATATATATATATATATATATATATACGTATATATATATTCATATTTATATATATTTATATATATATATTTATATATATGTATATATATATATATATATATATATATATATATATATATATATATATATATATATATGTATGTATATATATATATATATATATGTATATATATATATATATATATATGTATATATATATATATATATATATATATATATATATATATATATATATATATATATATATATATATATATGTATAAGTGTATGTTTGTGTGTGTGTTTGTCTTATGGCAAAAACTTACAATGATATTAAACTTTAAAAAAGTCAAAACAATGTGTGATTTATTTTTTTAGGTCGTAGACAAATTGGCAACTCAGCTGCACAAGCAAATGAACTAAAATCTTCTGATGCAAAAAAGCCTGGACCTGAATTTCGTCCTGTTGCAGGTAGTAATTTAAAAAATGAATTTATATTGTTGTTGTAAAATGAATTTATGTTGTTAAGCAACATAAGTAGAAAACTACTCATAAAAATAAAATATTCATTTCTTAAATAAAATTCTAATAAATCTTTATTAGCAATAAAATTACAAAAACAATAAAAACATTAAATGAGCACTGTGTAGTGCAAACATTTTTTTCAATACAGTTTTATGAATAACATGCAAAAAAAAAGTACTTTTTTTTTATCTTTATTTTTTTAATCGTATTTATTCTTAAATTGTTTTTATTTATTACAATTTAGGGATACTGTTTTTTTTTTTTCTAGCAATTTGGGGGAGGAGATAGAATTCCTGAGATAGCCCTCTTCCCCAAGTTAAAACCGGTACTGCGACAAAGATTTTTAATTATTACATTGTTTGTGTCAATCATTACTTTGTTTGTGTTAATCATTACTTTGTTTGTGTTAATCATTACTTTGTTTGTGTTAATCATTATATTATTTGTGTTAATCATTACATTGTTTTTTTTAATCATTACATTGTTTGTGTTAATCATTACTTTGTTTGTGTTAATCATTATGTTGTTTGTGTTAATCATTACATTGTTTGTGTTCATCATTAATTTGTTTGTGTTAATCATTACTTTATTTTAGTTCATTCAAAGATTGTAGAGTTGATTTAGAATAGCATCTTGTTGTAAATTGCATTTCTTTGAATACAAACTTTTACCGGTGGTGATAAGCATATGCTACTTTAGTTTTATTTGAAATTTTAATGAGTATAATCAAATAACAAACACTAGGCTATTGTAAATATTTATGGAAAGTTGTTTAAAGTTTTTTAAACATTTAGTAACTATATTATAGTAGTTTTAGCTTTAGTAGTAAATAGTTGAAAAAAATTTTAATCAATATTTACAAATTGTGTAATATTTGCACAATTAACATAAGATTATGTACGCTTATAATTTTATTGGAATAGTTATTTTATATATTCAGTATAATATATTATATAGACAATATAATATATAATATTGTCTATTTGATATAATATATTGTATAGACAATAGCTTTTCATAAATAAAACATAAGCATTTAATAAACGAATTTACTATTATTTTAATTAAACATTTACAAAAGATTAATACTTTTGCACTTTATGGCTCTTGCAAAAGTTTTTTCTCTCAAAAATATAATTATCATTGTAACTAAAATAAAATCACAGTCATTTTAATAATAATTTTTAATAATTCTTAGAATGCCTGCATTCTAATACAATAAGAAAATATACAACTTTTTCTATAAGAAGTAAAGACAACGCTTGCCTGAGGAATTTTTTCATTCCGCAGTAAATGACACTTGCTTTGTATATATTCTTGTAATATTAACATAATAAATGTTTGCTCGACATGGCGTGACAAATCAAAAAAAGTGCAAACTTTTTTTTTAAAAAAAAGACAAAAATAAATATCACGTTTCTATATTTTTGCATATGCAAATATGCAAAAATATAGAAACGTGATGCATGTAAATGCAATATATTATATAGAAATGCATGCACGTATATGCAATATATTATATGTTTGTAATGATTTATATTATATATTGCAAATATGTGAAATTGTAAATCAACACCAATAATTTATAATTTTAAGGTAATTCAAAATATTTTTATAATTAGATTTTTACTTTTTGATTTCAGATCCATCACAGTGGGTGTTCATAATGGATCCTCCTTATCCATCTCCTAATCCTTTTCGACCTCATATTTAAAGTAATTTTAAAAGTAGTTCAAAGTATTTTAGTCAACAAAGTAATTTATGATAATTTATTTCTGCACACTCCAGAAAACAAATAAACAAGCATCAATCAAATAAAAATTACATTTTGTCATACATTCATAAAATTGTATGAAAATATAAAACATAACCGCTGTTATATTATCACCTAAAGTTTGTTACATATCTTTGATACATATATATCTATTTAATTTTTATTTATAATTTAATTATGATATTATGTTTTTAGTTTTTTCAAGTAAATATTAAAGAAATTTTAAAAATGTATAAAATAACTTTGTTAATGATTGAATCAATCTTAGGTGTCATCCATCATGGGGTGTCATCCATTATGGGGTTGACTTGGGTGTCATTCATTATGGGGTTGACTTAAGAGAGTTGATGATAAAATAAAGGGTAATGTATGGGTAAAGACCTTATGCCTTAGTAATATGTGTATAATGGCAGTTAAAATAATGCTGATTTAATGTTGAAATAATCCTGATTTGCTTGGCGGGAACGTTGAAACAACAATGATGTACTTGTTAAGTAATGATTATGTTAATAAAATTAACGTAATCATCCATAACTGTTTGTTAATCGTTTTCTTAATGAGAATATCATAGAAAATCAAAATGTTTTAGATTAATAATTACTTTTTAGTGTTTACCTTTTTTTTCCCACAAGTCTTCATATTTTTTTAAAAAGTTATCACAAGGTGGTCTTTAAAAATTTTATGTTATAAAATGATTTTTTTCATAACAACAGACTTTCATTGCAAATGACATTTTAAGATAAAAGTATTAATTTAAATACTAAATGCTTTGAGAAAAATATTAGTCTAGTTAAAATATTCAAGTAAAATTTTTCTTAAACTGTTGAAAAACAGTTTAAGAAAACTCTGAGCTGAAACTCTAGATTTGCATCAAATGGATAGATTAGTAACATCAGGCAGATAGATTAGTAACATCAGGTGGATAGATTTCAACTCAACTTGTTTCTCCGCGCAGCGGCCTTGTTCGTCAAGGTTCGTGTTTCGGAGTTATAGAGTTAAGAGAGGGTTATAACCACTATTAAGTAGCCTCCTGGTCTGTAGTGGCCTTCTTGGCCTTAAGGAGGTGAATAAAAAAAAGAAATAAAAAAAAAAAAAAGATAAGTATTTTTTTTTGTTTTTATTGTTTTTCAGTTTTACTGGTAAAGTTTGTAACTTACTTTCATTATTTAGTGACAAAGCATATTAAAACAAATAATATTTCAGTTATTGTTTTATGAATCATAGTTTAAAACAAAATAAGCAAAATTGAGCCACATTCTTTTAATAACTAAAGTACCTTATAATAATTAAAAACAAAATATATATTGCTATACATTCATGAAATCGTTATTTTGCTATACATTCATAAAATTGTATTGAAAGATAAAATATAACTGCTAATATATTATCTCCTTAAGTTTGTTACATTTCTTCGATATATTAAAATTTATTAAAATATATGTTTTTATATAACTATGTTTATATATTATTGATTTTTCCAGATAAAAAGTAAAGAAATTAGATGTACATCTAAAATTTATTATTTTGATAATCCTATGTGTCATCCATCTAAAAAACAAAATTGAGCCAGTTTTTTTTAATATTTAAAGTTCCTCTACAACAGAATGGCAAAAATTTAAATCAAAATATTTTATATTTGTTTTGACTTTTATTAGAAACACAGAATATGTAAAAAATATTGTAATTTATCATTAACATTTTAAAATTTTAAGATAATTAAAAAGATTGTTATAATTATAACTTTTGATTTCAGATCCACTAGTCAATGATGCTGTTAAAAATAAACTGATAGATGTTTCTGATACAAACACTAATGATCCTCCTTTTCCACCTAATCCTTTTCGACCTCATTTCGAAGGTAATTTTAAAAGTAGTACAAAGTATTTCAGTTGACAAAGTAATTTATGGTATGCACACATAAATGTAACAAATCACATGAAAAAATAAAATAAAATGTACAATAAAATAAAATTACATATAAAATGTAATGAATTATATAGCTCAGTTGAGTTTTCATTGCATTGCAATGTAATAATAGTTGTGAAAATATCAATAGTTGTGAAAATGTAAAATAGTTGTGGAAATAGTAATAGTTATAACACTAATTTGACATTTTCAAAATTATTATTATTATGCAATGACCTATTTTTATTTTATTTTTTATTTGATTAAAAAAATTTCAAAGAAATCTGACCAAAATCTTTTATTTGAAATAGAATTGAAAATATATGTCTGAAGTCATTGGTACAATTAGCATCAAAGAATTTAAATATGTAATTTTTTCATAAATATTAAAGGCTAAAAAATACAAATAATTGCTTTGGTTAAAGTATTATTTTACTTTCATGAGCGAAATTTTCAGTTTATTTTTATGCTGCTTTACTTATGCTATCACTGAACGATTGTAAGGACAATATTACCCAGCAATCACATCATTAAAATGTGAATAATAATATTTAAAAAAATAACAACAATAATATATTTATAGTAATGGGTGTTATAATATTAATATTTACAAAAATAAAGATAAAAGCTAAAAATATATATCAGAAATTTTTATTTAAGTAGTTACAATAAAAAAAATGGTTATCATTATTTTAATAAGGTAGGGGGGTTAATCTAAGTCTTATTTTAGCTACTTTTAATATAAACTAAAAAGTAGCAAAACAATCTTTTTATTGAAGTAAACTATTTTAAAATTTTAATTAGAATACAAAAAAGTATTAAATTACAAAAAAGTTTATATATAATAAGTAAAGTTGTCCAAGGATAATTAATTTAAATTGTGTTTAATAGACTCATATTACCCTTTTTAGTGGGGTAAAGTCTCATTTTTATTTTTATTTTTAATCAAATATTCAAACTCATAGTAAAGTGCAGTCATAGTGGCTGAAGTCATATATTGTTCAAAAATTAACAGACTTATGTTGCTTTAAATGCAAAATAAACTACACATTCAAACCGCAAATTAGAAATACAAAAATAGATTTTTATCCCTGTTTCCTCTACAAGTGTATGTAGATTATAATGTAGTGCTTTCTTGAGGTTTAATTAGCACAGTTTTTTTACAACTTATCTAAGTTGTAAAAAAACTGTGCTAATTGAACTGTGCTAATTGAACCTCAACTGATCACATTATATTTTCCATATTAAACATATAATATTCAAGTTTGAAAGTTGAATTACTTATAAGAAGCATGATGAATTTTTATTATTAGAAGATTATAAAGTGAAAGCTCAATTGAAAATTAACCAGAAGTTTTCGTGTTATATATTAGATTTTCTATGACATTATGCTTTAAAACAGCTACACTGAGTTATCTACTAATTTAAAAGGAAAATATAACATCATTACATATTTTATGATCATCTAAGTAAATCCATAGCAACATGACTCCAGAAGAACGATTCAAGATACTTAGCCAGCTTCTTATTTATAATAATTTTTATTTTTAAAGTATTTATTGCTGCATAAATAATAGACTCTTAACACCACAACACATATTGACATATAGGCTCACATTACCCCACCTAACTATGATGTAAATTTCAAAAAAACTTTTGTGTTTAAACTAATTTAAATTTAAATTATCTAGTTTAAATAAATTCAAATTTAAATAATTAACTTTACTTCCAAATAAAACATTTTCTATATGTTGAAACCCAATTTTAATACCCATTTTTTGAAGTTTAAAATATTTGATAAAAACCTTTGTTTATATGTGTGCTATTTTAAATCAAAGATATGCCTAAGATTTCGCCTAGTTAGTTGATAATTAAAATTTAGAGAGCTATTTAACTTTTTAACATTATTAACAATATTAGCTAAGAAATACCTCAGTTACTGCAACCTTGATTCTTTTGAAACCCATATTGATAAATTTTTTATTATCCATAATTTGTGTAATTCATAAACCATTCAAGAATGTTCATAGAGATTTTTCTTAGGGGAGAGTGGGGAGAAGTTTCTAAATACTGTTATTTTATGTAAACAATTAAGTTTCTTCTCTATTTAGCAGGAATTGTTTTGTTTATAAACCTAAGACAATTAAATTGGTGCCTTAAAAGCAGGTTTATTCATAAAAATTTGTTTGGTTCAGTTTATACATTAAATAAAAAAGTTATTGCAATTACCCTTAAAAAAAAAAATTCATATGTCCCACTTCTCCGCACTCTCTCCTACTGATGTAAGATGTGTAGTAAGTAAAGTTGGTTCTCACATTACAATTATACATTCTTTTTATATTAATGAACTTGATAGTAATAGAAGTATCACCCCCTCATGCGTATTTGACATGGAGCTCTTAGCAGTCGTTGCAACCAAGGTTATGGCAAAAAAGAGCAGCAGCATTGTTTGTGTATACAAGTATCCACCTAATGTAAACTTTAAATTATGTAATATTAAAATATGAATCAAGTTTTACAGTTTTACTTTCGCTTAAAAATTGCATTGCAGCAATATCTCCACAATTTTTATTTATAGCATTTATTTGCCATTATATAAAATCTTTTGTTTATTAAATATATTTAATAAACAAAAAACTTATTTATTAAGTATATTTTTATGACAAAAAAGAGCCGTAGCACTTTTTGTGCATACAAGTATCCACCTAATCTATATTTTTTGTAGAGCATATCTCATTTTGATTTCAAATAATCACATTATTTTTTACCATCCCATAAAGTTGTCAAAATATTTGAGTTCAAATCTTTAGCATTTGGGATAAAATCAAAAAATATTATTCCAATGATATTAAACTTTAAAAAAGTCAAAACAATGTGTGATTAATTTTTTTAGACATGGAAAAAAATGACAACTCAGCTGCACAAGCGAATCTACTAAAATCTTCTGATGCAAAAAAATCTGGACCTGATGAACTTCCTGTCGCAGACGGTAATTTTAAAAATGAATTCAGGTTGTTGTATAAAATGAGTTAATGTTGTTAAGTAATAATTACTTATGTTACTCATGAAAAATAGTATTTAACTCTAATACTATGACAATATTCTTATATAGGTAGGTACACCTTAAAAACACAAACACCTACAAACTACAAAGTCATAATTAATGTTCACAACAAGCACTGCTTGAGCTAAAGGATAATATTCTCCCATAATATTCTTTGTTTTAAGACTCTCTTTAAAATGCTCTCTTTAAAAAAGTACAAGTTTGACTATTTTTATTTTTAGAATACGAGATATAAACAATTAAAAATCACAAAAAAGTTTAACTAAAAAACCACACATTTTTTGCATGAGTGATATCTACATTGTGTCTACAAATAAAAACAAAAAAACTTGTTTAATATTCTTTTCAGGTTGAATAAATGAGCTTTTTGCTAGCAGTAGATATACTTGTAGTTTTTAAAAAGAAATATTTATTGTATAACTTTATTATTATACACTGTTTTTTATATAATTTATTCTTAAATACTACTCTATTTTATTTCATCAAAATGTGTCAATCAATATTTTAACCATCTAAAGTAAAACTATACATATCTATAGTAAAACTATACATATCTGTAGTAAAACTATACATATCTATAGTAAAATTATACATATCTATAGTAAAATTATGTATATCTATAGTAAAACTATAATTTGCATATCTATAGTAAACTAAAATTTTTTTCCAGAATCAATAAGTTACATTTCAAAATAACATAAAACCTTTTGCTAATTGATGTTGTTGCTTTCTTTGTCATTCAAATTTTATATTTAACATTTTTTTTGGTCAATGTTGCTAGTTTAATCATTGTTGGCTTCAATATATAAGATAAAGAAAATTGATTAAAATCAATTTTCTTCATCTTTTTCTTTCTTTTTCTTCTCCTTTTGATCCTTATTTTTTTTTTTTTTTTTTTTCCAATTTCAATCAACATAACCTTTTTAATGATGTTTTGAGCTTCTATAGACCCATGTATGTTGTTTGTTTTGATGATATCTTTTGGCTTTTCTTGTATACTGTCTGCAAACCTGATATGTATTTTAGATTTAAACTTTCCTCATAACTTTCTTTCATAATCTGTTAGTATTGTGACTGCTCAAACATAAATTTTAAATAGTTTTTCTAACTATATTGATGATATATTTTTTCTAATTTGGACATTGAATATGGAGTAACTGTTGTCAACAAAAAGCTGGTGAACGTGTGCATACTTTCTTTGGTGTACTTAGAAAACAAATGTCAAAAGATTCTTGCTTCTGATTTTGACCTGTTGAAATTTATCTTGCTGCATGTTATTTACATTTAAACCCTCTTTAGATATCCCAACTCTCTTTGCAGCATTAGTTATAGTTTCCTTTGATACCTATTTATCCCAAATTGCTCCTAACATTTTCATGAAGCCTCAGTTTATTATTTGGAAAGTTGTAAAAAGTTAATCTCTTTTTTTGTCATATTCACAATGCATATTCTGATTAGGACATGGATCTAATAGTTGAGTCAACCTAGTTGTATCAGAAAGACCTATAAACAAGTTAATTTTCTTTTCATAGAGAAAATGTAGAACATTGTAGTCAAATTTTGAACTGTGTCCATCTGCTAGCATTACAGCAGGTCAGTAATTGTTCTTTTCTGACAAATATATCAAACTTTTTGACAAATGTTTCAATAAGTCCAATGAAAAATGATTATCCTGGTTTTCTTTTTCAGTAGATGATATAACTAAATTTTTTATATTTTTGACGGCTGTTTTTTGGGGCATTTGAATAGTGATACCTTTAATAGCATAATTAACTTGTGAAACAACGCAATAATTTATATCTATATATTAAAAATGATAGTGGTAATATAAATAATAAAAGTAATAACAAAAATAGTAATAATAAAAAATCTAATAATATTTCTTACGATTAAACTTATACCTGTCCACCATGGTGATAAAAAGATTATTCACTAACATGGTTGCACTTTTTAAGTTTGTTTTTTTAACTAACACTTACACTTTTTTAGTTTGTTTTTTTAAGTAAATGTAAATTTCTGCATCAGTATCATTATTTCATAATTTCAAATAAAATAATCACTAATAATTCTTTGTTATTATTAACTGCCAATGAAACAACTATTGTTATTGATTCAAGTTTCTCCCTAAACTTTTTTTTTTTTTTTTTTTTTTTTTTTTTTTTTTTTTTTTTTTTTTGCAAAGTTCTCCACATGCAACATATAAAGACCGGAATTCATTCTATTAACCCCATAATTTATAAATTAGGGTGTTTCATCAAAATTAAAAATTCTTCTTGTTTCAATATTACCCTTCCACACCCCAAGATCAAGTTTTATGGAGTTTGTGAAAATCTCACATTTAATGAGTTCTTCATAAAGAATAAATATATATATGTATATATGTATATATATATATATATATATATATATATATATATATATATATATATATATATATATATATATATATATATATATATATATATATATGCTGCATCTAGTTTATTGAAAAAAGTAATTGTATGATGAAATATTTTTAAATTTATTTATTGTTGTAGTTTTTTGATATGTTATGTGTAGTTTAATATTTTTATTTTAATTAAAGTTTTTATTGTTTTCTCATTATAATTTACTTAAATTTTAAAATTAACAGAAGTAAAAGATGTTTTGGAAAAAACTCTTTCAAGAATGCAAAATACTTTAAGAATGTTAAAAGGTAATTCTTCAAAAAATAATTTTTTATTATTAAAATGTAAATTTATATGTTTTTGCAATTTTTTCAAATAAAAAGTTTTTTTAAATTTGATTTCGATTTGAATATGTTTATTTTATTATTTATTCTGTATTTATTTTATCCTCCTAATTATAAAGCCCAATTTTAAAAAATAAAAAGTAAATGCTTCAAAAAAAACTTACTTATGTTCTTGGTTTCACTAATTTAGCTCTAAAAAAGAATGTTTATGATACCACAATATTTTTAACTATAACTGGTTTGTAGTATATTATATTTTATCATGCTGGTTTATTCTTTAATATGTTTTTTTCTTTAGAATACTGATTTACTCTTTAGTATTTATATTTTAAACTTTAGTATTTATTCCATTGTTATAGTTGTTCATTCTTTGACAAAACAGTTTTACCCTCGGTATAATGATTTTGCCTCCAAAGTAGCAGAGTTGTTTTTTATATAATAACAATCTCCATAGTAATAATCTCCATAACAATCAATATTGTCTTAACTTTTGTTAACTTTTTAACTCTAGTTTTTTAATTGTGATAATTATATAGTAGTCAAAAGAAACAATTGTTAACAAAATAATAGAGGATTCAATTTTATCATATTTAAGTACTTCCTTTTTTTTCACGTATGTTTCTATTTTTTTTAATTCTAAATTTTTTTATTTTTTTTAAATTAAACTTATTTGATTTATTTATTTTAATTTTATTTAGATGCACTGAATAATTCCAAAATTAAAATTACAGCAAAGAGATCATCAGGTCGTTCAAATACAAAAAAAGGTATATATTAATGCTCTTCTTTATTTCAATTAAATTATAGGTATATTGAAATGTTTAGTTGTTAAGATATACTTTTTTATTTTTTGTTAATTACATTTTATCTAGTGCAGAAAATCTTTGTTGCTTAAACTAGACTAGCCTATGAAAGCTCACAAAAAATATGCTTATGGAATAATTCTGTCAAGGAAGATGAGTAATAAAACAAAACAAAAAAAAGGGAGTACAAATATTACTAAAGATAAAAATACGTTACAATATAAAAGATAAAAAAATGTAACAAAAGATAAAAATATGTAACAAAATAAAATTTAAAAATTAAACATTAGGGTATATGTTCTAAGATAAAAATTTAATGATCTCTTTAAAACTAAAAACTTGAGAGAAAAACATGAAATAATATACTTATAAAATAAATATTAGACGTATGAAAAGTTCATAGAGGTGTTAAGATCATATATCTTATGATAGTGGAAATGGTTTCCTAAATCCTTCTAAGTTATGTTTGCATCACCAATATGTTTTGAGGAGGTTAGTCAAAGCCATAATAAAAGTTGTATTTCAGCGACTAGCACCCACTCCATACCATAAGTTGTATTCTGCATCGAAATGTCGATCTTGCAACTAAAATAAGTATAAAAAAATATTTTAGTAACCATGTATTTTCTGAATGCATAAAATAAAAATAATATTGATATGTTTAGTAAATGAAATAGTTTATGCTTAGTAAATGAAATAAATAAATTGTGTATAAATTCCCTTTATGCACAAGGCTTGTTTAGCACTTTAAAAAAAAAAATAGTACGTATTAGCACGTTTTTTTGACATATTAAAGACGTTTTGCGCTTACCAGGTAGTATAGTAGCAGGCTAATAACAAATAGTCAAAACTTGTAGTAAAATTAAGTTAAAGTAGTTAATCAGAATAACTGTAGTGTAGTTAAAATAATTATAGTTAAATTAAAATATTTAATGTTGAATTAGAATAGTTATAAATTATTTTCAATAATTATATTAAATATGAAATTTAGTTTTTATTAATTAGGCACCACATTTTCTATTCAAGATTTATAAATAAATTCACATTTTTATTATATGTTGCAGTTTTTACCGAGGAATAAGTTTAATAAAAAAAATAATTATATTTATAAATATATTATAGAATTAATTATAGAATTTAGTCAGATTTTAGTTACCATATTTTTCTTAAGGCCTTTAAATAATATTTTACCTTTTTAGAAAATCTATGATAAAAAATTGCGTCTTATGTCAAAAACATTTTTTAATAGAAAAGTGGCTCACATAAGTTTTTTTTTTTTAAAAAAAAAAAAAAAGCTTGTTAATTGCACTTATTACAATCTTAAATTGTTTAATTTAAAAATAAGGTTTTAATTCATACCTTTTTTTACCAAATTAAATGTTTTTTTGTAAAAATCATTTTTTTTTTAATTCAAATTTAGTTTTTAACACATTTGAATTAAAAACTAAATATTTAGTTTTAGTTATTTTTGTTTATTAATAGTTATATTTATTTTTATTGTAGATTTGAAGAAGACATTGTCAAAACTTGAAAAAGATTTTCGTTCACTGAAAAGTATTTTTAAACATTTATTAATTTAATAAAAATATAACTTTGTTACTTTAATTTAATTTTACTTTTTGTGTTTATTCTAAAGGGATATCTCATTTTTAATGGATATTGTTTAATTTTTTTTTTTTGTATCGCTATGCATATTTATTTTTTATATTTTATTTTATATATTTTTAGTTTACTTTATTTATTACTTATATCAAATATTATTAGTTTAACTGAAATATGAAAAGATGCTGACAAGTATCCATGTGTATTTCAAAGGGGGCATACAACTAAGCTTTTATATTTCAAAGAGGGCATACAACTGAATTCTTATATTTCAAGGGGTACATACAAATGAACTCTTATATTTTAAAGGGGACATACAACTGAACTCTTATATTTTTGATATTATTTATTTAATATATTTACATTAATTTAAAAGCTAAAATTAACTTTAACTGAACTTAATATGAAAATATTCAGGAATTAATAAGCTCAATCAGAAAGCAGTATAAAAAATTTTAAAGATAAAAACACAGATCAATGCAATTATGCTTTAAAAAAAAAAAAAAGCTTTTAATCATATAATGTTATTTAACCTGGATCAAAAAAATTATTCTAAAAAAAATCTTTTTTTATATATTCGTTTGATTATCCATAGAGAAAATTCAGTGTAACTTTGTTTATTTTATATTTGAAAATTTATCTCACCATTACAGTTGTTTCTATAAAATTCATTAGATAATAGTTTGGGGAATAAAACAGTTAAGTATACTTCATTGCTTTAAAATGTAAACTTAAATTTATAAAAAATGAGTTGCAAAACTTGGCAAGTTTGAAAACCTATTGGATAACATAGCCGGAAACAAAATGTTTTTTTAATTTTCATACTATAGATATTATTTTCATTTGCATAAAAAGTTGAAATTTTAATAGCTTGATTCATGCATCTAAAATATTACTTTTTGCATTAAAAAGTGCATTAAAAAAATCACCATGATGACTTTAGAATTAGTAGAACAAATACCCAAAGATAAATGTTCCAAATTCCAAACATGAAGTTATCAAAACTTAGTTGTCCCAATACAGGTTTTCTGTAAAAATTGCAAAAAACAGACAAGTGATCCCAATATTTTACCAATTTTTAATTGTTCATTCCGTCTATTGTCAATATTTATTTAACAAGAAAAAATATATTTTTTATTTATTTATTTATTTGACTTAAAAATAAAAACTTTTATAGTATAAAGTTACTATTATTTTTGCTCATTTTTTTCAAGTCTTAAATACATGGTGCTATTTGAAAGTTTCCAGGTAAAGGTTTTTATTGGCAATAACGATAAAACATGAGTTGAATCAGTTTTTTTTTTTTCAAGCTTGTTAAATAAAAAAAATATTTTCAAAAAAATAATATCTGTTACCTGTTACAAATTCATTTATCAAAAAATAAATTAAATGCTGCAAGAATGCTTCAATTTAAAATTATATAAAACTTAAAATTATAGTACAAAATATTTTTTCTCTGATTTGCAGAGAAATTGTCCCTGCCTTTTAATTTGTCTCTGCCTTTTAATTTGTCCCTGCCTTTTAATTTGTCCCTGCCTTTTAATTTGGATACCAAAATTCTTTAACATTTTATCAAAGCCCATTGGACTTTATTCAAAAAAAAATTTTCACTGTTATATTTAATCTTCTTTTAATTCCATACTAACTTATAGTAAAAAAAATACCTTAATTTTTGCATAAAACATTTTAATAAGGTCCAAAGAGCCTGAAAAAATTTGGATGAAATATTTAAAATAAAAAAATATTTGGTGATAGGTAAATAATTTTAAGAGTTTCATAGTCAAAACACAGTTAAACTTTTAAAAGTGAGTGTTGGACAAATCAAAATTTAAAGTCTAGTTTTCAAAAAGAATCAGGCTTTTTGTAGAACAGACTATAATTTTATTTTTAACGAACTTTATTTTTGTAGAAATAAAATTTGTGTAGAAATTGTAGAGAAGCATTGAAACTATATTATAAAAAATATATATTATAAATTCTATATATATTCTTAATAGCTCTACCTAGATTTATATCCTCTATACCTATATTCTCTACTCACTTTATTTATGTTTTTTATACATACATACATACATGTATAAAAAAATATATATATATATATATATATATATATATATATATATATATATATATATATATATATATATATATATATATGTATATATATATATATATTCTTTGTTCTTATAAATATGTTCTTTGTGCCTCTATCTCTATATATTTATATATCATGTATATTTTTATAAAATAATATAAGCTTCTTTTTTTTTTTAGGTTATTTTCAAAATGAATAATGCTTGAATTTGTAAGTTATTTTTTTAACTTTATCAAACCGAATATAAATAAATATATCAATAGATGTTATATATTTTGACACACAAAACAGTTTATACCACTTTATAAGGGGGTTTACTGACAAGACACAAAGATCTGCTATTCTTTCTTGGTGCAGGAGTTATTCGAGTATAATAGAGGTCTTTGCTGTATCAGCATGTTAAATTAATAATTAAACGCCGTCAAAAATTTAATGGAAAATCATGTATAATTCATACTACTTCATTTTTTTAATATTCGTTTAAAACCATTAAAAAGTTTTTAATGACTTTATTAGTTATAACATTTTGTGCCAAAGAAGTCTTGCCCCTATTTTTTGAGACCTCGAACTTAACAATATCATTTAAGTGTTTTTTCTTTTTATTACTAGTAAAAAAAAAAAAAAACTAAATAGCTGCGTGTCACCATTATCATTACATTACATTTTATTACTTATTGACAGTTATGTAAGTACATTTATTGACAATATGTACAGTTTAGTTTTTTTAATGTTATAAAAATTTCTAAATTAACATCAAGAATTAGATTTAAAGGTATTTATTTTTTTTTTATTTTTATTTTTTTTTTGAATATAACTCATTATTTTTAGATTCAAACCAAAGATGAGATGAATATTTCTCCGAAGATTTGATCATCTTAATTTTCGTTAAAAGATTACAGAAGTTTTGTTCTATCGCTTTAATTTTTTTTTTATTTGATGTTGATTTATTTTTTTATTTTTATGCACATTTTTATAATTTTATATAAATGGTTTTTATTAAATCTTTATTTGTCATTTTTTTAAAGATGTTTATTAAAGATTTTTCAATTATCGATTCTAGTAATTTATTAACGACCTCAATAGACTTTATTGTCATCGCGACCTCAAATTATTAACAATGATGTGAGTGATTATGAATCGATTTATTGTTATATTATTTTCTCGGCATTTGATAGCAAACGATTCCGCTTTTCCTCGTAAATTATACCTGCTTCCAAAAATAGCCGCTCACTATACACACTACTACCAGGAGAGGATAAATAAATCTTAACATTAAATCAATAAATCTTATTATTTTGCATTAGCAGACCAGCACTTGTAAGGGTCTGTTATCCGATCTAGGCGAACAGTTTTTATGAATAAATCAATTTTGTTTGCTGTTGAACTTTTCTGTTCAATATCTTTATCTGTGTGCATGTTTTCTGTAGCGACTTTCTCAAATCATTTCCAGAAACTTGTGTGTCTCGTTTGTTTTATCATTTTCATTGACATTTTCTTTCTTTCGAAGTATAGATGAATCATTATCGGTACTACTAGAAACTTCAAAACTTTTTTTCAGAGCTTCTACAAAAAATTTTTGTTTTGGTCTTTGTGTTTTTACTATATCCAAGAAATTAGTTTTTAAGCGCGGGTCAAGAAAAGTTGCTAGCAGTTATTTGTCTTTTTCACTAACTGTACAACGAGACAGTTCGCTTTTGCTTTAATAGTCGTTCCAATAAATAGTATGTTTTATTCCAGCATGTGCTTGTGTCTTGTTTTAATTGGTGTTCTGGCAGTTTAAGTTCTTGATGAATCCATTTAAGTTTTTCTTGTGCTATACTAGAGTGATTAAAATGGGTGACGATTTGTCTCGCTTCAGCTATTATCAGTGTTACTTCTATTTGAGAATTTAGTGATACATAGAGTCAGTTGTAGTAAATAAATACAACACTTGGCAGAATGCAATGCAGAAAACGGCTTCATCACGCAAACAGTATGTTCAAGAATAAAATCTAGAGATATCCAATGCGCAGTAAAACTTAAGAAACTTTCGTTGTTATGCTGACATGTTCACATGTCAGATATCACGAATACTGCTGTTGCTTAGCTTCAATTTTATTGCAAATTCTACCGAATATATCGGAGATAATTTTCTCATTCATGTAGGTGCGACAAGGTATATTGTATTGCGGTACTGCCTTTTCCATAAGCTTGTACAAGCCAACTCGCTCAACTAATGATGACGGCTAGTTGTCTAAGGCAATCATTTCTCCAATTAAGTAATAATATTGTATTGATTTCGTATCATTAATTTCCCAACACAATTTCCTTTCAACTGTCTTTATCGGAGTTAACTGTTTCTTTTTTAACATACCTGTTACTGATGGTATCTTAGAGTGGGTAAAAATTAGAGAACCAATATTTTGCTCCCTCTTTGCGGCGGAGCTCCAGTTAACTTCGTCATAATGCTTGTTTTGAACGCAGTTTTTCAGAGAATTTTTTGCTGAAAACAAAAACTTAACTTTCGAGTAATTAAAGTAAAGAAAATTTTTGGAATTCAAATATTATGAAAACGAATTCCGACATTCTCGAATTTCGAATTTCGAGATGCAATCGTATATGCATACGATCAAAATTTGTCATTCAATTAAATTTGGATCTTAAAAAGTTGACTTCGCCGGTCCTTAATTCGCCGGTCCTTAATTCGCCGGCCCTTAATTTTGAGAACTTTGTTATTCAATTGCATACTGAATGGCCCTTTCTTGTCAGTTTAAAATACTGAAAAAAGAACTTGCTATCATCAACGTACCTTTTCATAAGTTATTGGTGAGGTAAATAAGCTTGAAGCTTATTGGATAGCATAAAATTCAATAAACTGTAGATAGGCTTTTGACATAACAGCTATAATGAACAAATCAATCAGACCAGATTTTTTTTAAAGATATTTTCTTGCTCAATTTATTTTTCAACAACCCAAAGTGGAGTATTTGAGCAAAAAAGTCGATCAAAAATATTTTATCGAAGTTACCGCAAAAACAATTTTTTTACATATCTAAATTTTTTTAATACATATTTAACAAGTATATTTGTTAATAAAAAAGTAGGGTAAGGCGGGGTGAATTCGTCACGGAGCGAATCCGTCATTTATGCGACTCAGCTTTAAAATAATAATGCAAAAAAACTAAGAAGTCTACTTACTATGTTTTTTTGAAACTTTTTCTACTGATATTTGAAATGAGGGGCAACTTCGTCATTAAAGAAAAGTTAATACTGAAAATAAATTAGGTTGTTTCACTACGCAAATTTTTAAACTACCAAGTGCCGTTTGAAAGAAAGACAAATTATGCTCAAAATGCTTCAAAGCTTTAGACTTTATTTTTCTATTTTTTTATTTTTGTTATATATATTTATAGTGTCTCTGCTAAAGTAATAGTGTTAAAGGGTTTTCGTGAGGTAAAAAAGTTAACTATTGGTGAACGTGGCACAATAATAACATACCTGGCCACTGTCAATGCAGCAGGAGACAGCTTACCGCCATTTTTCATATTTAAGGGAACAAAGATTCCAGATGCATCTAAATTTCCTTAGGGTACAAAAGTACATTGCAGTAAAAGCGGATATATTGATCAAGAGATTTTTATTGTTTTTTTACATCATTTTAAAGAGTTTCGTACTAAAGTGAATGGAAAAAAAGTATTGTTATTTTTGGATGGCCACAAAAGTCATGTGACTATCGAAGCAATTGATTTAACAATAGAGATGGATATTGAAATAATACGCATTCCACCTCATAATACAAATCGTCTTCAACCACTTGACACACATGTTAATAAAATAGTTACATATGTGGTCTGAAGCCTTGTCTAATTATTTAGCTGAAAATGATGATATTTCTTGCGCTTGCGTGGTTACACGGTTTTCATTTATGCCAAAATCATTATTTGATATTTTCTAGAAAAAGTTTAACAGTTGATGTCCTATTAGATTTTTATTTATTTCAACTCGCCTCCTCAAGGCCATGAAAGCCACTACAGTCAAAGAAGCTACTTTAGTTGATGCAACCCTCTCTAAACTCTAAAGCTGCAAAACACGAACCTTGGCGAACAAGGCCGCTGCGCAGAGAAACAAGTTAAGCGCGGTACTACCAGGAAATCGGCGGGGATTGAACTCGAAACTTCTTGGTTTACTATTCTATACTAGGGAAATCATCGTTCTGTTACGTCAATAATGTTATATGTCGAAGTTTTTTTTCTCTTAGGTAAGCTGCCTTTACCGCTAGTAAGGAATTTTGTCTATCGCCCAAGTGCTATTATTTTTCAATAAGTTTAGCTGTACTAACGAATTCGCCCCATAATTGACAAATTTGCCCCTCATGACTTGATGACAAAAAAATCAAGTTCTACGCTAAAGTAACTTTATAATATATTTTGATTCAACATTAACAAAGTAGAGACCCTAATTAATAAAAAAGTATTAAATTAGAAAAAATAACTTATTTATATGCAAATTCATTTTGTTGAAGTAAAACATGACGAACTCGCCGCCAAACCCTATATTTGTAAATATATATATATATATATATATATATATATATATATATATATATATATATATATATATATATATATATATATATATATATATATATATATATATATATATATATATATATATTAAAGTAAAATTTTTTAAAAAAAAGTTTATTAAAATAAAATCTTTAAGAAAAGTTTTATTTAAAGTTACCGCAAAAAAATAATTGTTTAATAAATACACCGCTTGTCTAAAATCCATAAAAGGATATGGCACTTTAAGCTAGCTGTTTTTTTAAGAGTAACAAGAATAAAGATCAAGTCGTCGAATGTTGAAAAAATCAGCATGGAGAACGGTGGTGAAATTTATAAAAAGTATTTTGAATGTGATTTAACATTAATTTTTAATTTTCCATATATATATCTAAAATATAACTATATATATTATTTTGTTTATACGCATATATTATTTATACGCTTTTTTTTATTTACAAATATACATGTTAAATATATATTTTTAAAATATTTCCTTTCATTATAAAAAAAAATTTTGCGGAAATTTTTAAGATTTTATTTTTGTTGCGGTAACATCAATAAAATATTTTTAATCAACTTATTTGGTGTGATACTCCACTGTGCGACCACCATCTGATTTCTCTTGTTTATTTTTATTATCATTTGAGGTTAATCCAATTACTTCTAAATGATCAATTATTTTTTAATTACCACAACCTGACGTCACTTTTTCAAATTATTCAAGTTGACGTCAAGTTAATTCCTAGACTCAAAGTCTTATAAAACAAAATTGGTTTATAGTTTAAATTAAGAAGCGATTAGGTTTTCAAAGTTTGGAAATTGTTATTTCAAAAACTTTGAATAATTTGTTACTGTAATAAAAGAATGAAGATGACTCTCTTGAGGTTGGGATCAAAGCATTTGTACACCTACCAGAGTCAACCAGAGCTTTTTTTAAGTGTATAAAAGGTTATTGTCAATAGAACTCTTTCAACAGTCATCCATAATGATAGCTGTTAAAAGTGTCAAGAATATGGTGAGTATTATAACTGCATTAGACTATTAGATCCTAGCTCTTTCATACAAGACAATATAAAGTTTTATTTTGAATTTTATTCAGAGCACCAGCTTGGTAGATCACCATTATTCGAACTAAGAATTCTAATGAAAACTGGATTTGTTCTTGATCACAGGCATTTAGTTTGCTTAAATGTTTTAAAAGCTCATAAAGGAAAATATTCATACTTTTTTATGTTTTTAATTTCTAAAAAAGCTGTGTCCAGATGCAAAACAAACTATAACCTGGATAATTTTTATAATAGTATCAAATTAAGTCTTAAAAATTACTATCTTTGTTCCATTAGGTATCCTGCCCCTTTACACTAACTTTATGCCCTCTTATTTAATAAATATTGAATCACAATTAACTTAAAATTAACATTATTTAATGATGTATGAGCCACAGTTACAACTACAGCAATAATCTGCTAAAAGTTAACGCATACATTCCAATACACAGTAGTTTGAAATAATCAAAAAGTGGCATTAATTTAAGACTTACAAAAATCCGATAAAAAAAGTTCTGATTATGTAAGACTGATGCAAGTTGATCCTATTTTCATTTTCATTTTTAAACCACTTGGCGTTTTCCCGCAGATGCTCATTTTTTAAAGAAAAATTTCTTGGTTAAAAATCAATAATTTTGAACTTTTATTTTATTTCTTAAACCACACCTGTGAACTTCTGGTATTGACATTTAAGATCTTTCTATACTTCTTTTAATCGTACGATGGTTTCTTACCATAGTTCCATTTCCTTCGGGATAATAAGTAGCTCGAAGCCTAATGTGCACTCCCCAATCATCAAGAAAACTTTTAAATTGTCAGTTTTAAAGGCTTTGTTATCTGTCAAAATTTCAGATGGCGTTCCTCGCTCACAAAAGATCAGGCAAAGTATTCGTATGATGGCAATACTTCCTTATGAATTTGAAAGTTTTTGACACATGTCGTATATAAAAGGTCTGCAACCAATTAGAGGTGCCAAAATGCGTGATACCTATAGCTACATCTGTGAAAATTGTCACTTTCTTTAGTTTCCACGTCAAAGCCATATTTATTTCTTGCATTGCAGAATCCTGCTCCTCATGTTTGTGTGATCATCAGATATTTCTTTTCGTAGCCATGTTGCACCCTCTACAGTAGTTTTACCAATTTGAATAAAAGCATCAATCGTCAAAGAACTAGCGTCAACCTACACATCACACTTTTCACTTATATAGCCCAATCACTATAAGCTGGATCGCACTTTCCCACCTCATCATAAACTTTTTGAAGTAAGCATAAATTTTTATCGCAAACTTCATTGTTCCAACCCTTTGTCAAAATAATGACTCTTCTTTACAAAACGTAATCTTAATATACAAACCCATTACATCCAATCATTACAAGAGATTCCTCAGTTTTTAACTGGAAATAAGCCTTGCGTAAATCAATAATTACTGGGTTATTTTCCTTTCTTCTCCGTTCCCTCAGATTCTCAACACACACATCTACATCTTTTAAGTCTCGATAAAACCGTTAGCTTCTCATCAGTCCAAAATTGGTCTGACTTTATTATCTTTATTTCGTTGGATAACAGCCATTAAGGAACTTTGCCCTTTGGGTGGTCCCATCTTGCTTTCGTCATATTCAATTAACCATTTATGATTGATCCAGTCCCGTGGTTCGTTTTCATATTCTACTTTTCTGTGATCACTTTCGTTTGCTGTATCCAAACGGCAACGTTTGAAGTTTGATTATACGTTTCAAACATATCTAATAACTTAATACTTGAATTTAAGCCCGTTTAGCTCAAAATTTTCTCGCTCAACACAAACTTTTTTCTTTCCGCTAATCTATTTTTTCAACCTGAACTTCATTCATCTTTACAAAAGTTTTAAATCAATTTATACCCACAAAAATGAATAGAATGTTCTTGAAATTTCTGCACCAAGTTTACAGCCTTTGATGATTAGAAACTATTTCCAATGTTTTAATTGATATCTTAAGCTGCTAACAGAAATTCTTTGTTAACTTTAATCTTTTAATGAATATAAAAGTCCGCAGTGTATATAAATTGCTTACAAATATTTCAGCCCTAAAAAAATCATTTTTTAAAGAAGCTCATAAAAAAAGGTATAAGGATATACAGCAAGATGTTGCAATATATTTTGATTCTATCGATCGTTTCAATGTGTAGTTATGGAAAAGAAGCACGTCAATTAAAAAGTAGGATTTATTTAATCAGTTTTATTGCTTTTTTTTTTCTAAACAGTTTTGAGCATTTAATTATTTAAACTTTTAATATAAAAATAATTTTTCCAACAGTCAAAAAAACTTTGAGGGCATTTCTTTAAAGCATCTGTTTTAAACAAAACATTTTTCCCAATTATCTTGAAGTTATATAATATTTAGTTGTTTTTTAAATTGATTACTCTAAATTTATTTTTTAATTAATTTTATTTAAATTTTCTATTTTTTTGTAGTCCTAACAATTTTATTTATAAAAGATTTTTACTTTATTTATTGCTGAATACGTTTATTCAACTTTGAAAAAATATTTAAATTGAAATGTAATTAGAGTAATTTACGTAAACATCTAGTCAAATAAAGTTCACTTGACTACTTGTTTACAAAAAAAAAAGTAACAAATTTCAAATTAAAAATATTTAATGTTTTAATATAGAACTTTTTTGTTAAACGATATTGCATCTGTATGTATGTGATTACTGTATGTATGCAATATCGTCTTAACAAACGATTGTATATTAAGACGCACACGATAAATGCAGTGCATACGATCATATGCGTCACATTTTTTAGAGGATTTAAGTTAAACTTATTTTTATTGCAAACTTTTAGTAAACTTTGTTTTTAGTAAGTTAACACAAGATAAAATCATTAAAAAAGAATTAAAAATCACGTTTTTTATTTTGGACGTTTTTTCTTAAACCGTAAATTATGAGTAACTTTGTTCACAAAAAAAAAAATAAAAACAAAAAAAAAATAAAAACAAAAACAAAAACAAAAAAACAAAAAATAACAATAATAAAAAAAATGAATTTCCTTCAGTAAATCTTCTCAGAATTGACATTTTCTAGGATACAACGTCATAAAACAGGTTCTTACGGATAAATTAAATAATTTAACAATAAATAATACATGTATAATAAATACAATAAAATAAAATATTATTTTTACAATATACTACCAATTTTAACTGTATTATTAATTAAATATTTATCTAAAAAGAAAAAACCATTCTTTCAACAAAATTCAACTTTACAAAAATAAAATCATGTTGAAAAAAAATTTGATTTTTACGAGAAACAATTAAAAAAAAAATTTCGCTAATGTTGTAGCCGCTGTATCTTTCAACAAAGTTGTTCAAGTTGAACAACTATTTCTTAATTCAAAACTCGTCGTTGATATAGTGAAGGGTTAGAGAATAATTAAAGGAGGTTGGAGCGCTAAAAGAGTTGTTGAAAATATAAGAAAGGCTTTAATGATTGTCTAAATGAATCCATAGCAACATGGCCCCAGAAAAATTAATCAAAAAACATAGCCAGATTAATTATTTGTAATAATTTTTACTTTGAAATTGTTTATTACTGTATAAGTATTGGACTCCTAAATAGATTGCATATTAAACACATGTTATAATGTTTTTTATTATATTTTGCAAATCTACTTTTATTTAATTTATTTTATAATAAAAATAGTTTTATCATTATTTTTTATATATGTGATTTTTAACATAAGCTAATAACAATAAACGGTATAAATATATTGTAATATATAACGGTATAAAGAAAAGACATTTATTGCAAAGTTAATTAGGTATTAGACAAAATAACAAAAACATAATAGCTATCAGTGCAAATAAATTTTGTAATTTGACCAGCAAATAAAGTTATTCTTACCTTGATTGCGACAAAGTAATTTCTTTTTAAACAATTAGCGAATGGTCAACATAGTTTTTATTCAAATTCATTTTTTCAAATTTTAAATAATTAAAATTTACTTAATTAAAACCAAAATTTAACAGTTGACAAAGTAAACTAATGATAGTTGTTAGAACATCAAAGTAGAATTAATAAAACAAAATGAAAATAAAATTTAAAATATTTGCAGTTGAACATGAAAAATAACCATCATGAAATAATAAAGGTAAAATAAGGAAAACAATCCAAAGAAAAATTAATAATAAGCTATTAACAAAAAAAAGTTTATTTTTATTTAAAATATGATCCTTCTAATTGAAAATAATAATTTTTTTTTTTTTTTTTTTGAACAGTTAAATCACATCAATAAAGAACATACACAGTGAAAAACTGATTTGTAATTTCTTTTACATTGTAAGTATTTATTAGATCCCCCTAAATTCAACAATAATTGTTAATAAATGTGAAAAAGTATTAACTGAAATTTGAAGTATTCACAAAATCTTAACTAACAATAAAATATTTTGACATTATGACGGTGTTTAGTTACAAAAACCGAAAAATTGGCAATATGTCTACTAATCTATAGACTACTCACGGTTCATTTGGCACAAAAATTAAAATCTAGTTACACTGTCCAAGCGGGAAAGTTGAGTTTTAAGTTAGATAGTCTCTACAACATTTTAAACATAAAAAATATGCTGGTTAAATAAAATGATGGGTAAATGTTCCATTTAATGATTTAAATAGGATTTTTCATAGATTTTATATGTTCTTGTTAAAATAGAACCATTTTTGGGGCTTTTTTTTTTTGGGGGGATCTTTTGTTTAAAATATTTTGTTCCAATTTGAGGCTCAAACATGCCAACTAGAAAGCAAAGTTTTATACTCCATTTTTAGTACTGTCAGTTAGTGGGAATTCTACGATGGGGGTGGGTGGGGGGTGTATTACCTTTGAAAATACCAACTGGCTTCTAAAAAAAAAAAAGTCCTCAAAACGAAAATTTAAACGACTGAATTGTCTCAAATACCCGACTAGCCGACTAAATTCGTAAAAAAACCTCCCGCTTTACCTTCAAGTTCAATAGGGAACGCTTTAGCATTACACCACATTTATACTTGGTATATACCTAAAATAATTTTAAAGTTCCTCAAATCAAATAGTTCGCAAAACTTAGCTCCCTACTTTGGGGAAGCAAGTATTCTACAACAAACAAAACAGAATTTTAGACTTCCTTACCTTGGTGTTTTTGATGATGAAGTTGGCAAACTGGTAATCCATTTAAAACTCACTATTACTTAAAATTACTTTAAGTGACTTTTTGGCATAATTTTTGCAAAACCAATCAGTTTTTAAAACTTCACAAAACTCATAACACTAAAATTTACTGCAATACTAATTGTCCAATTTGATAAATTGATAAAAACGTCTGATCACTATTTACGAAGAAGTTTGGAATCTTTTACTTACTTATTCATTTTAAACTAGAAGTAGATTCTGATGACTTCTTATTAGTAGACTAAATTAAATCTAAACTAAACAACTAAAATATGTTTAAGTATTTGTGAAAGGCTACAAACTTATGTTACTATGGCCCTGTAATTATGTAACTTATGTAACTATAGCCTATAGTATGTGCAAATACAAAGTATTGAATATTTTTTGTGCTCCATTATAGGGGAAATGCCCTACTTTCCAAAAACTCATGTAGACTGCAGAAGAACTGTCTGACTGCTGTGCATGAAAAAATGTGACAAATAAGTTATAGATTTTATAAAAACTCTGCTCAAACATGAGATTGATTTTACTGATCCCAAGGTTCCATCAGGAATTCGCAACTCTTACAGAGCAAGAAACAGGACTTTAGACTTCCTTGAGCTTCTTTAATGTGCTCCCCAGACTGTACTTTTCAAAGCACCAAGATTACAAGAAAGTCTTATACTTCATTTATCAAAAGCAAAAGAAAAGCTGTACTCTTGTTGCCTGACAACACACAAAGTGGCGAGGAAACACATAAAATGAGTTTCCTCACCACTGTACAAAAGGTTAAAAATTTGAAAAATATAGTCCGGACTGACTCTAAATTATGAGGAAAAACTTGCTGTATCTGTCATGAGCAAAAGATGATTTGCTTAAAGTAACTAAAAGATCGATCAGAGCACAGGGTGGAAGACCAACTCCTGGACCTTCCTGCCTATACTCATAAGAGAAATCCACACTCTTAACAACCGACATGGTTAAGGCACTTTTTGGTATGTAATATAGGGTTGCCAGACGTCCAACTTTTACGGAGGAAAATATAGCGCCAAACCTGTAAAAATATATTTTTTGATTGTGTTCTCCTCCGTAAAAGTCGGACGTCTGGCAACCCTAGTCTGGGACACCCGATTATATATATATATATATATATATATATATATATATATATATATATATATATATATATATATATATATATATATATATATATATATATATATATAATATATATATCCAACATTTTTTGGTCTTTGAGATTCCAGACATGGAGTAAACTCCAAACATTTATATGACAATACTTATGTCAAATAAGGATGCTTTGTAAAAAATTGCAATGATTGGAGCTTGGGAACAAAAAAGCCCAAAAACTTTTGCCCTTCCTCTGCCCCAAACGTGAGAGCAACAAGTTAATGAAATATTTTTTGTACTATTTTCAACTAGACTTATATTTATCTATAAATTTTAAATTACATAGTAAAATATTTTAACGTTCAAAAATATGGCCATGTTAAGTTTAAACCCTCCTTAATTTGAGGGGGTTGCAAATTTTATATCGTCATAATTTTTGAATGCTGAGAGATTAATCTTGTCATATCAATTCTTGAACTCGTTGATGCTTCTCGAATCAATAACTTGATTTGGCTACTTATTCCCGAAGAGTACAATTCTGTTTGTAAAGAAGTAATATCTAGCTTGGTTTCTTGTGAATTGCCTCGACAGTCTTAATTTAGAGCCTCTAACATTACTTGCAGATCCTTGAGCTAAAAGGGAGTGTTTTATGGCATTGATATGAAACTAATATACTTCATTAAAACCCTTGAGTGCTTTAAAATATTGTATCATATCCCCTCTTTGCTTTCTTTGTTTTAGAGTTTGTAGATTGGGATAAGTTAGATGAGCTTTGTAATCTAAATTTCTTATTGCTGGAACAAGTTTAGTTGCTCTAGACGGCTTCGGACGGCTTCTAGAGCCCTTTTGTCTTTTTTTTGAAAAAGATTTCTAACAGATGCTCAATATCGCAAATG